GGCCTCCCACCCGCCCACCTCTCCCCACCAGGGCGCCACTCCCAAGGATGGGCCGAGTGCTGGCTGCACCATCGTCACAGCACTGCTGTCACTGGCCATGGACAGGCCGGTGCGGCAGAACCTGGCCATGACGGGCGAGGTCTCCCTCACAGGCAAGATCCTGCCAGTGGGCGGCATCAAAGAGAAAACCATTGCGGTGAGTGCCATTCCCTTCCCCGCCTCCACTGCCATATAGTCCTTGGACAGGTAAGGCACAGCAGACCATCTAATGGCCCGTTTTACAGTGGGCATGGGATTTGGACCTAGAGCCCATCTTGAACTGTTCTAGGTGCTTCTATACAGAGGCCCCCCCCCCCCCCCGCCCCCATGAACTCCTCAGTGGCTTGTGGGCTCCTTGAGGAATGGGGCAGCTTCATTGCTCACTTGGCCTGGCACCGAGAACCTTGGGCAGGCCCCTCATCCCCTCCCCTACGTGTCCAACTCCTGGCAGAGCCCCACTGCCTCCTGAGCCTCCACTGCCCTGACTAGTATACTCCAGATTGGGCCAGGACCGCAAGACTCAAAAAATTTGAAGTGTTGGCTACATTTTCAAAATGTTTTTCTCCAGCTTTCATTGCATTTTTAGGAACCTTTTTTCCAGCAAGGGTCATTTGGGTATCTATAGCATCCTTTGCGGGCCATAAAAAATTATCCACTTAAAAACTAACCTGCTACACTTGGTCAAACTCAACCCTAATGCCTTGGCAGGGCCAGACCAGATCTCTTGGGCCTTAGCCTGACATTCTGCACCCGTTCTAAAGGTAAAGCAATGGATGCTGATTCACACACAGGGCTGGGCAGTCATTTGTGGTGGACTCTGAGGGAGCCACACTCCAAGACCAGCCCTAGGCTTCTTCAGAAGCCAGTGCCCTTATGTGAACACTGGGTCTGGGCCACCATGAACTGGAGCCCCACCAAGTCCTCCCCCTTCCTGGACTAAGGCAGTGTCCCCTGCATCCTAGGCCAAGCGTGCTGGAGTGACATGCATCATCCTGCCAGCAGAAAACAAGAAGGACTTCTTCGATCTAGCTGATTTCATCACTGAAGGCCTGGAGGTCCATTTTGTGGAGCACTATTGTGAGATCTTTGACATCGCCTTCCCCAAGGAGCAGGCGGAGGCCTTGGCTGTGGAGCGGTGATGGTGGCCTAGGCACTGCAGGTGCTGATAGGCCCATTCTGAGCTGAAACTGCACTGGGGGGAAGGGGCTCTGGGAAGTTGAGCCACCAGGACTCAGCAAGGGGCCCGGAACCCAAGGCCCTCAATTACAACTTAATCATGGAATCTGACATATATGAACTATTTAATTATGATTAAAGACCATTTCTAGTACTACCTGTGTCTTCTTTCTGTGTCTACCATATGGACCAGCTGAAATGTCAGCACAGGAGCCCCAGGTTTCTGAACAGGTTTTATTACACAGACAGGGAGGGGCTGGGGCTCAGTCCTTCTTGGCTGCTGCCTTCCTCATGGCTGCAAGGACATTGCTCAGCTCCTCTCTCTTCCTCTTGGCGCGAATGTGTGTCCCCACCTGCAAGCAAGGTGGGCCATCAGCCTGGGGCCCAATCCCACCCTCTGTCCCTCTGGGCACAGATATGTTTCCACCTGCCTGGCAAGAGGCCAAATGCTTCCACCCAATCCCACCCCCACCAACTGCCCACCTACCCTTTTCTTGATGAATTTCAGGGCCCTCTTGTCCTTAGAGACCTTGAGCAGCTCCATGGCGCGCCTCTCATAGGGGGCAAAGCCACACACCTCTCGGATCATGTCCCGAACGAACTTGGTGTGCTTGGTGAGGCGCTGGGGGGTGAAGGAAGGCCATCAGGACGAAGAGCTCCAGACCCAGACCCTTAGGTCATGCCTGGGCCTCCAGCGGGAGCAGGAATCCTCCCCATCCCCCCAATGTCACCAACACAGCAAGTCATGCCTGGTCCTTTCCACAGGCTGCCATGCAGAGTTGGGGCTACTCAATAAAGTGTGGATAAAAAAGGGGTCCTGTAACCAGCACAAGTCTTGCTCAGCAAAGTCTTTAGTTATGAGCAAGTCTTTGTGGGTAGTCTGTTAACTGCTGTGGTGAAAGGTTTTCAAGCAAACCCTGCCCACTGTTCTTGGGCATCTGGGCGAACACCTTTGATGACAATGCCAGAGTAATCAGTACCCCTCGAGGGTGTGACCAACCTCAAGAGCACATAGTCTTAACTATCCTGCTTTCTTCCTTAAATTCCCTCCTTAACTTCAAATGCATTAAAGAAGTGGCAGAACTGTTAACCTCTGGGGAAATTTTAGATCTTGCTTCCAGGCAGTTGTCAGTTTGGCTCAAATAAACTCATGAAAATTCCCTACAGGTGTGGACGTTTCTTAGCTGGTCAGAGGCCCATAAGCCCTGACCTGCCCGAAACGCCCCAACCCAACACTCAAAGCATCAGCTGGCCAACCCCACCCGACGCCTACTCCAGCGGGCAAACCGCTTCTGTCAAACCCGCCCCCCCGCCCCCGCTTCCACCCCGCGGGCCGGAGGGTCGTGGTGTATGGCCCGGCTGGGCGTTCGCCGGGCAGACATATTAGGGACTTCACTCACTGCTCTGGCCGGCCCGGCACCCACTTTCTGCCGCTCAGCCCACCGCAGGCT